TAGTTATCAGTACTACTCACTAAAACTTGTCTGCTCTGTAGTGTACATGTAATGACCTCACTTGGTAATTGTGTTGCTTCTGATTAATTGACACAATAATTAACTGCTTACATACAAAATATTGGCAAAAAAAGACTGTAAGACTGTATAAGATTTGACACAATTGTGTGAATTTTGACTAATCACATTTTTTTAGTTTGTTAGAAAATTCAGAATGTCACAAAGTAATACAGGGTTTTAGTTAGTTCAGATGTATTGTGAAATTTACAGTAGAAGTCAGAATTGTTAGCCGTCCTTTGAATTAGTTGTTCTTTTTTAAATATTTCCCAAATGATGTTTAACAGAGCAAGGAAATTTTCACAGTGTGTCTGATAATACTTTGTCTTCTGGAGAAAGTCTTATTTGTTTTATTTTGGCTAGAATAAAAGCAGTTTTTAATTTTTAAAAAGCCATTTTAGGGGCAAAATTATTAGCCCCTTTTAGCTATATAGGACCCTATCATACACCCGGTGCAATGTTGCGCAAGGCGCGGCGCAATACTTGTTTGGTAGTTTCAGCTTGGCGCAAGAGTTGCTTTGAGGCGTTGCGCTACGCTATTTAAATAGCGAATGCATTAGCGCTCATTTGTGCGCCCACAGGCGTTCTGGTCTATATAGGAAGGCGTTCTGAGGCGCACTGCTGGCGCGTCACTATTTTGAGAAACTAAAATAGATTTTTCATTAGACCAAAACAAACCCGGTCTAAACTCCGGCGCACTGGTTAATACGCACAAGAGAGCAATAGACAAATATCTTTACATATAAAAAAATTAAATATTAAGGATATATATAGGATATAATAAGAATAGATATAGGATATAAATATAAAGGATTAAAATATTACAAAACATATTATTTTCTAGCCTACATAAATATGAAAAATCACTGCTTTTATGTCTTCTTCATCTCAGGAGGCTTTTTCAGTTCATTCATAACAATTTGCTTTTGTATAATGTTATTATTATTAGCAATATTATTTATTATATTTATATTTATATTTGTTTTATTAAAAACAAGATTTGTCCACCTGCAGGTTTTAGACCATAAGGGGCACAGCATGTGTTTTAGGATAAAACTCAGGTTTTTGAACACACTTCGTTAATATTGTTCATTTATTCGTTTGCTGGAAATTAGAACTGAATTTAGAAATAGTTTTGAAAAGAATATTTGCGCTTAACAAACGAAATTAATTATTTATAGACTAATTGATGTCTGTGCGTAAAGGTTTCCCTATATCCAAGAGCGAAAGTGATCCGTTATCTCTCATTCTCACGCAGTAGATGCTCTGTTTAACAGTTTTCTGTTAAAAAAAACTGTTAACTGTTTGCTAGTTTAATGCTCAGTTTTTCCACTTAGACTTACTTTACATCCTGTAAATAGTGAATGCACTTATAGCGCGTCACAGCTGGCTCTTAAAGGGAATAGGAGATGAGACTCTAATTGGTTTATTCTCAAAACACACCTATAACTCATTAAGAAAATAAACTCAACCCTTTTAGCCCATGCCCCACGGCGCAAAGCGGGTTTTCCCATCCGTAAATTAGCAAAAATGCGTTCTGACACGCTCTGAAAGCGTTTGCGCCCTGCATTTTGCGCTCTGCGCATGGACTGTCAAAATAGAGCCCATATTTTTTCGATGGTTTGTTCTGTAGACTAATGTTATACAATAACTTGCCTATTTAACTCAATTAACCTAGTTAAGTCTTTAAATGTCACTTTAAGTTGTACAAAAGTGTCTTGAAAAATATTTTGTAAAATATTATTTACTGTCATCATGCCAAAGAGGAAAAAGAGGGGAGAGAACAACTGTTATCAGTTGGCTTACAAAATGAGACACAAACCGTGAGGAGACCCATGATTTTTTAGTTTGTGAAGTTAAAATGCAAAGAAAAAAACAGTAATTTAATTCCCTGCAACGTAATTTATTCATAATTTCTTCATTTCATTATCATTATAAAGCCAATCATGTAAACACCATAAATGAGAAGGACTTTTCTCCTCTTAAATCCCTGGGTTTGACTGCAGACACAGTGGATAGCAGTACAGCATGTCTCTTTCCCTGTCTATTTCAACCCTTAGCCCTGCCGGTTATCCAGATGAATTTAAACATAGGCGAACATAGCAGCACGGAGATAGGCGATGTTTCTGAATGGTAACAAACTGGTAAAAGAAAAGTCTGCCGTTCTCCAATTCTTGTAAATTGCTCTCCTGACAAAACGCTTGCTGCAAACCAACAGCCTTGCTGTATCTGCCCTGACAGATTCGCAGGGAAAAACTTGTCACAAACCCTGTGAATCATAAAAAGAAACGCATACAGCCCTGGCTAAATACTCAACCCAGGCTCATTCTGAAAATGTTGTCTCGTTAACGTTTATGGAGACCACGAATTACGTCCTGGTAGGTACGTATTTGTGCAGTTTTTGTTTTCGCGAATCCGCAAGAGGCTGCTGTGTGTGCTTTTTCACATCTCAAACGTCTCTCGTGGGCCGCTGTCGAGTGACAGTCTGTCTTTCTGACTGACTGAATGATTGACTGGGTGACCGACCGGCCAGTCGGCTGACCCACCCTTCTCCTCCTTCCTTAAACCCAACCGGTTTTACCGATTGAACCGCCCGCCCTCCAGCTTCCTTCCCTAAACCCAACAAACGATTTACAAAAGCCGTCCAGAAAAGGAAAAGCCCTCGTTTTTTACCACATTTTTAAATTTCACCACATTCTCACCCTGTTATTAACTTGTTCACTTTATTATTTGGATTCTGTTTTTGTCCTTCCTGATTTCTGGAACCGATCTTCCTCGGACTCGAACCCTGTCGTCGCCGTTGTTGCGGTCAGCTCCTCTCCGCGTCTCCACTCTGCCGACATACACGATTAGCTAACTGGACAAACTGGCTGCGGCGGGAAAGCCCTCCACACGGAGGTGAGCTGTCAGCCAGCGAGCGCGAAGAGGAACGATGTCACAACGTCTTGTAGCGTCCACTTTAAAAAATAAAATGCAGCCATACGTACCTCCAGCTACATAAATCGTGGTCTCCAGAAACGTCCGCTGGACTACGTTTCAGAATTAGCTTGGGTTGTAAATACTGCTTGTTGTGTGCGAATGTGGTCTAAACCAGACATTGGATCTCACAGCTTGACAGGTCTGCCTTGCCTTTGGAAAGCATGTGCTCCACCGAATAATTAAGAAGCAGGGTCTTCTCATAGGATAAGAAAACTCAGTCTATGAATAATAATGAGAAACTGATGCGTCATCACTCCACTAGCAGATTCGTGCTACGTCACAGATTTTGATCTCGCCCCAAAAATAATTTTAAACCCGGAAAATGAAATTAACCGGCAAAATCTTAAAATTATCCAGTTTTCCCCTCAATTAAAGCTGACAGGTCAGGACGCGGGTGGTGAGTGAGGTGTCGCGGACACTGGCCTCTCTATTCTGCCGCCCTATAATAATGCACGGATATAACTGAGGACGCGCGGGTGGTGAGGGAGGTGTCGCAGACATAACTAAGGATGCGGGTGGTGAAGGAGGTGTCGAAGACGCCGCCCTCTTTTCTGCAGCCCTATGCGCGGATATAACTGAGGACGCGCGGGTGGTGAGGGAGGTGTCACGGACATAACTAAGGATGCAGGTGGTGAAGGAGGTGTCACAGACGCCGCCCTCTTTTCTGCAGCCCTATGCGCGGATATAACTGAGGACGCGCGAGTGGTGAGTGAGGTGTCGTGGACATAACTGAGGACGCGGGTGGTAAGTGAGGTGTCGCAGACGCTGGCCTCTCTATTCTGCCGCCCTATGCGCGGATTTAACTGAGGATGCGCGGGTGGTGAGGGAGATGTCGCGAACATAACTGAGGTGGTGAAGGAGGTGTCGCGGACGCTGCCCTGGGCGGCTACCTAGGTCGCCTCTTAGGACGCGCCGGCCCTTACTAGAGGTCATCAAACTCGCCATAATCACAGGCTCGACAAGAATGCAGAACTGTCCACTACATTTGCTCTCCTTTCTAGATCCTTCCAGCGGGTTTACAATGATGAGGCTGTCGGCATCTTTTTACACAGCATGCACAATTTAGCACACATTAAATACATGATAGTGTGGTACCCACATAAATTTTTAGCCAACTTACTGAAAAATTATTTTAGATTTACTTTTAAATGGGTCAGATGATATATTTTCTTTCAGTGTACACACACTCACACAGATACTTATCCATATATAAAGAGTGAAAATGCCGGTATTAACACTGCTTATGATTTTGTGCAATATAAATAAATCTTGAACTTGAGTTGAATTAGAATTTGAACTTGAATTATGATTGAAGTTTATTCTCGGTTCTCCTCACAATACAGTTAAATTACACTTCTCTGACTGCTGTTCTGTCTGCTGGTCTGTCCACAGGCTTATAATTGTATGCCTGTGGTCTGTCGTTTGTGTGAGTCTCTCAGAATATCTTATCTCGGCATCCAAACGTGCACCGCTTTCAGTTGTCTTCATACTGTTATTTGCGCGAACTCCCTCATCCGACGTCACTTCTGGTTTGGCGATTTTTTTTTAGATGCGGAAGTAAATATCCGTGACCAAAAACTACTCCAAACGGCTTAATAATAAACTTTAACGTGTATTTTAAAGAAAATCTAGTTCCTACTTTACTCTTACATTGTCTCACTGGGTTGTCTAACCTACAATATGCTCTTTAATTCATCAAGGATTTACACAAAGATTTAAAAACAAAACTTAGCTGCTAATATTTTTGACAGACGGATGAAAACATATCGTTTCTGGAGGACATTGCAAAATTTAAGCCATAAAACCATAAAGTTAGCAAAAGCTTTATAATCTGCAGGTGTTTTAAGACTTGCGACTGTGTGAGCATTTCATAAAGCATTCAGGCAAAGAAGATAATATTTTCAAGTATATGAAAGATGAATTTTATTTATGTATGAATACGAGGATACATTTTACATTTGATTAGTCAATTATAATCAATTAATTAAACTTAATATCGCTATATGAAATGACAGAAAAATCATATTGCAATATATAATTTTTCTGTCATTTCATTTTGCGATATTGAGTATAATTGGGTATAATTAATTGATGATGTTGATCTCTTCAATATCGTGCTGCCCTAGCATTTGCATCAAAGGTACATATTTTGATCAGTTATTTCTGTCCACTGAAATCTAACCTATAATCTTTGAAAATATGTATGTTTTGGGGAGTATAATTTGCTTTTGCATAAAACAAGGACATTTAATGATAAACTATAAAATAAAAAAATATATATATTTTTGGTTTGTCTGCAGCTCCAGCACATCACTTGGCTCAAATTATCACTGGACCCAAAAGAAAGAGAAATGTGATCCATGTGAGGAAAACTGGTCCAGGGCTTGATCCACCACTGACTGTAAATAATGAAAAGCAAGTAAGCATTGAAATATCCTATGAAAGCTGTGCTGCTCTGAACACAACAAAAATGGTTAAAAAAAAAAAAGTATTTCTTACCAACAGTTACATTGTATAGAGCAAGAATGATATCTGAATCTCCACTTTCTTTAGCAGTGTAAAGTCCACCGTCTGTCTCCTGTGTGTTCTTGATTGTTAGAGAGAAGTCGGGATAAAAATCCACTTTATCTTTATAGGAAGGCTGAATCTGTGATTTATTAGAAATGTAAGTGACTACAATGTCGTCTATATCTTTTTTCCATTGAAAATCATCGTATTGTTTTGTTTGGCTTGTGTTGTCTTGTATGGTAAGTGTAACAGAATGTCCTTTATTGACACTTATTGCTTTTGGTTGAGTCACCTCACTGGATACTGTGAAGAGAAAACAATTAGTTTAGACATTGAATTTCTGAAATTAACATTTCCTTCCTATGCAGATAATAGCTATTTAGATTATTAATGCATCTGTGATCAAGAGAATGTTTATGTTGTGTAGCATTTACACTAGGTTCATGTGGCTTTGAAACTAACAGCAGTAAATTGATTTTATTCTTATGTACCGTATACAATGACAACGGGTAAGAATTTACATTTATCAATACATTTTATTGCTAATGTGGGAACAGCTTGTAATTATAATGTTCATTGTGAATATATCCGTGTATTGACTCACGTTCAGACTCTGTTACTTGCACAAGAGTGTAAGCACACGCAAAACTTGCTAAGAAAACTATTTATTCTACTACACATTGTTCTTTAAAGAGATAAAATTACCTTAATTGAAATTCTGCCATCTTTTACCCATCATTTACCGTTATGTGTGTGTGTGTGTGTGTGTGTGTGTGTGTGTGTGTGTGTGTGTGTGTGTGTGTGTGTGTGTGTGTGTGTGTGTGTGTGTTTGTGTTTGTTTTTGTGACATATCAGGACATAAATCTGTATACTGACATGGGTATGACACAGGTATTACAAAAAAGAAGTGAAATATGAGGACATTGGTCACGTCCTCATTTCTCAAAATGCTTATAAATCCTACAGAGTGAGTTTAATCAGAGAGTAAAGCTGCACAGAGTCTCCTGTGATGGTTGGGTTTAGGGGTGGGGTGGGGTGAGGGCAATTTAATATACGGTTTAGACAGTATAAAATAAATGGAAACCCTTTACTGATAGGACAGTGGAGAGGATAGACAGGAAAGCGTGGGAAGCAGAGAGAAGGGAAAAATTTTGTTGTGAATTAAATATAGTGCAGTTTTCCAGCCTCTCTCATTTTCAAAATAAGAGTCCCACATACATATTAAGTTTAATCTCAATTAGGTCAACCTAAATAAATAAGGGGAATAGATTAGATTAGATTCGACTTTATTGTCATTACACATGTACAAGTACAAGGCAACGACTTGTTGTAATCTCACTAGCAAATATCATAATTAATCAAAAGCAGCCTCTGTGTGCATATTAATGATCCTGTATGCAATGAAGCAGTCTGTATTTTGGTTTGATTAACCTGCTTTCATTGTGACTTTACAGTCCCTGGATTTACATGAAAATAAGGAAAAAAGATGTTTGAGCCTCACAGTGTAGTCATGTCCATGTACTAAACTTATTATTCAGCTATGCATAGGTTTATCTAAATTTTCATTATGACACATAATTTTTTTTATGCTTTTAATTCGGTGACTGAGATACAAAACAATTCACAGTTGAAAACTAAATAAAAACTAAATAAATAAAATGACAAATTAACAAATGCAATGATGCATCTCAAAGCAAATTAAGTTATGAAACACAACAACAATATCAAAAAATGAAAAATATGAAAGTTACAAGTCAAGAAAAAATGGTGAAACTAAAAACAAATGAACAAATTAAAAAACTGAGACATTTCGGCTAAATCGGAAATACCATAGTGATTGTTTATGGCGTTATGCTGTAAAAATTAATTGTTGCTATCCTAAATTTTGTTTAGGTTTAGGTCATCTCAACTTACATTAATCACACTGACTAAAATTATTAAGTTTACCTTAAAAAACTTCCTATTACTCATACATGATTAACCTGAATTATATTTATAAAAAAATACTATACATGGAAGTCAATGGATGTAAGTTTTACACTGTGACTTTAAACACATGCCTGTAGTCTTTTTGTATGCCTTGATTAACAGATGTCCTGTCCAATCAGAGATAAGTATTCATTTTACAAAATATACCTTTTTTATTTTGTCTGATAGTTTTGCTATGATTTCTGACTTTAGTTTTTTAGCGTTTTGTTCATTTATACTTGTGTTAAGAAAAGTAAGTGATTTTACCAGTGCATGTCATTTAAACAAGTTTGCGTAGTTGTTTAAACAGTACTCAAAAATATAGGAAAACATGGTAATGTAAATACATTCTTTTAGCTTGTTAATTTCTTAATCAGTATAACAGTGTTTCCTAAAAAGACTTAAGTCAAACAATTGCCTTATGATCATAATCTTATGATTACTATTAATACATATATATTGATATATTAACCAATAACATAACTTAGTTTAAGTAGAACACAGGGACTTGGTACTGTACCTGTGTTGAAACTCTGTAAACGGATGAAAATAAAAGTGATGATCAGGCGCAGATGATTTAATTCCATTTTAACAAACTCCTGGCATGAGTTTTTGTCAATGTAGAGTAGGAAGCATATGACTTACAGGAAGTTACTTGATGAAACTGAAACACACACACACAAAAACCCTGCAGTAGAACCACTAATGTTGTTCCCTAAATACGTATTTTTACATAAAACTTATTTATATTATTAACATAATTTCTCTTTTAATATGACTTAAACATAACTCCATACTTTGAGTATATAAAGATAAATATACAAATAGACAGTGCTTCCCTGTTTAATCTCAGACAAAAAAAATCATTAAAATCAGTCACTGAGAAAATTCTGAACATAAACACATACCCCTTACATAGAGGCGTGATATGATTTTTGGTCATAGGTTACAATGTATCTATTATTCAATTATGAAGGTACAGTGAGGGAGAAAAGTATAGAAAAAAGTCAACTTTTCTCAAAAAAAAAAATTTTCTAAAGGTGCTGATGACTTTTCACCGTTTGTTTTTAACCAAAAAAATATATCCAATATGTCCAACATCTACATTATCAGGATGATTAAGATGAATCCAGGGTGGACATTTCAGGAAGACAATGATCCAAAACACAGCCAAGGAAACTCTCATATGCTTTCAGAGAAAGAAAATAAAGCTGTAGAATGAGCCAGCCAATCACCTGACTTGAATCCAATAAAAAAACACATTAAAGATCAGATTTGATAGACAAGACCCACAGAACTATCAAGGTTTTTACACTCTGTTGAAGTATTTGAAAAAATCACACCTGAGCAATGCATGTGACTTCATTCTCCATATGAGAGGCCTTCACCAAAAAAGCAGCACCAAAAAGTATTAAATACATTTCAGTAGTTCAGTACTTTGTACAGTGTGTAAGTGTTTGGACCTGCATTGGCACATAACTAACGTGCTCTGCGCTGGACTTTAGAGCAGCTTTTACTTGGTCAATGGCGCTGTTTATTTCAGTTCCTCAAAACATCAACACGCCAACAATGTGCCTTAACACACCTCTATTGTAGACCAACACACCCATGAGTTCACAAAGTGGCATAAATGGATATACTATTTAATTGAAGTTTATTCATAAACTAATTTCGAGAGGATCACGTGCTTATGATTGACACAGCTGGCCCCGAGTTAAGCTAATGTACGAACCACCAATCAGACTATTCCTAACCCAATATAAATAACCAAACATCTTACCTTTAGTCATCTTCGTCTTGAAGAATACCCCCTTCCACCCCTTCTCCTCCTCTTTTCTACAGGGCAGCAGGGCGGCCCAGTGGCTAGCACTGCGGCCTCACAGCAAAAAATGCCTCTGACTCAGGTTTCCACCCAACCGGACAGCATTTTTGTGTGGAGTTCATTTTCGCCCTGTGCTTGCGTGGGTTTTCCCCGGGTCGTCCAGTTTCCTCCCACACTCCCAAAAACATGAGACTTAAGTAAATTGACTAAACCAAATTAGCACCAAATTCAATTCTGTCAGCAACACATCACCTTAGCAATCCTTACGCAGCAGGAGGGAGGGGGGGGGTCTCGAGATCTACCCGAACTTAAACTCCCCTCTCGCCCTGCAACGGGTGGGAGCTCTGGGCTCTCTCTCGGGACAGCATGCCAAACTAGCTTATTACCAATCATCAGCTAAGTGTGAACTCTTGAAACAATATGCAAAAACGTGCAAATTAGCGTTGCGCTGGTCTGTAAATAGCCACAAATTGCGACAAACATGTTTTGCACCTTATTATGCCAAGTGTATGATAGGGCCCTTACGGTTCAGAGATTTAAGTTCTAGAATAAAGCAGTCGGCAGTGATTTTCATATCTATATTTATATATATATATATATATATATATATATATATATATAATTTTTTTTTTTTTTTTGAAAGAGAGAGAAAAGCAGCACTGTGTTGCAGTGGTAGCACAATTGCCTCACAGCAAGGTCAATGGTTCGAGCCCCAGCAGGGTCAGTTGGCATTTCTGTGTGAAGTTTGCATGTTCTTCTCGTGTTCGTGTGGGTTTCCTCCGGGTGCTCTGGTTTTCCCCACAAAGTCGTTGTATAGGTGAATTGAATAAGCTAAATTGTCTGTAGTCTATGTGTGTAAATGAGTATGTGTGGATGTTTCCCAGTGATGGGTTGCAGCTGGAAGGACATCTGCTACGTAAAACGTGCTGGATAGGTTTGCCATTCATTCTGCTGTGGCGACCCCGGATTAATAAAGGGACTAAACCAGAAAGAAAATGAATGAATGAATGAATGAATGAGAGAGAGAGAGAGAGAAGAGTGTTTCTACATGTGATTTGTCAAGCCCACTTACCTGTGTGAAGCACACTTCATTAATGCATAGTGTTTTTTTGTAAATAAGAACACTTTTATATGTGAATAACATCGACAGAAAAGTCTTTGTATATTTGGCCCATAAGGGGTTTTGTGGTTTTTATTTGGCATTCTTCAAAAAGAAATCACTTAAAATCCTTTATTTATTGATAATGTGTCCCTGTAAACATCATTAGTGTAAAAAATAATAAAAGTTATTGGTACCATCCTAGCCCATAGTGTTCATTTGACCTGTACTGCAGTCAAATCTATATTTAAGTATGTTCTGTGGTTTCACAGATGTAGGCTATGACACATACGGTATTTTCATTGAGCTTGTCAACCTGTTTAAACCTGCGAACTTGAGCTCAAAATTTGCCAGATGGATCTGAAAGTCACATGATTGTGGTGACAACTTGTAAATACCCTTTTTTTTAATGCAGTCAATACATTGTCATACTGTATGCATCACCTCATAGGTACTCGCTAGCTGAACATGTCTGAATCAGGTAACAAAACATGTAAGTTAAAAAAAGGAAATAAAACAAGAAGCATGGTTGCATTTGCAGAAGTAATCACATGACTGTGAGCTTGTGACTAATAATGTTAATGCAAGTGGGAGGAAGTGACATGGAATCTTTTTTTTTTTTTTTTTTAAAGGAATAAGGCATTTAAAAAAAAAGAAAACAGCTATACTTTTATGAAAATCATTCAGGCTACAACAGTCCCTGTTTTCAAAAGTTATTGGTTCATTCAATGGTCCCTCTATTAGACCACTACAAAAATAAATTTTTCAAGAAATAAAAAAGTGAGTTACGTTGCTCTCTGGAGTCTGTATTTCTATCTCTGTGTTTTTGTTTCTGCAGAGTATGACTTACAAAATATCTACTATCAATAGTTCAAAAATTCTAAACGACAGTGACTTCTCTAAAATAGTCTAGCATAAAAACATTTCTGTTCCTCTCAGAAACGATCTAATCTGCAGGTATGATGTCTGCAACTGACTTCCTGTTTGTGGTCTTCTTTTTCCCCTCTGGTACTTTACTAGCTCTAAAACCCATTTAAAAATAAATGTGTAAGGTGCATAAATACTATGGTGAGAACATTGTGATGCTGGCTTTTCAGCTGACCAAAGATAGAAAGGAGAGCGGAGGTTGTTTCCATCTACCTGTTAAAAAGACCAGAGTATAGCCCCCTACATGTTTCCTGCTTTGAGTAGAGATTATCCCCCCACCTCGTGTTCACATGCATATTTAGCTATTTGAATGTGTAAGAACAAACATTTGTCTGTCACAACAGTTTTAGGGAAAATTATTTTCTTAAAAGATGTGAAGAGACTATAATAAAAGTATTTTCACATTTTATCATGTATATATGCTTCAAACATGTGATGTTGTGTTTGGTGTATGCATGACATTAAATTTGCAAAAGTGACTTTTAAAGAGACTGTATGTTGTCATTAAAAATGACATTTTGGTTTTAGGGGTCTCCAGCAACAGGCTGATATGCATGCAAGGTCAAAAAAACATTTTCATTGTTTTATAATATGTGTTTATTTGTACCGAATTATCCCAACGACTCCCATATAATCCGTTTAGCCATTCATTTGTCTGCATCTGCACTGATTGGTCCAATGACCCAATGTGTTGTGATTGGTCAACTGGTTTCAGCCAAGCGGCAACCTCCTGCTCTCGTGAAGCAAATACTGAAATAACTGAAACTGCAATTCCTCAAAATTCCACTAGGCCTGGCTCCATAAGGAGCAAATTTTCATTGACCCCACTGTTAGAATGGCCAAAAAAAAGTGTTTACAGCCTGTTAAAAAGAACGATTTTGGTTCATATAGCTAATATTACCCTTCATGACAACTGTGAGGGGGTGAATTTTTTTAATAGTTCATCCGTTTCTTTTATGTTAAGTTATATTATAAAGTCTGCATAATTAAGGGCGTGGCCACTTGAGTGACAGCTAGGTTTCGCTGGTCACTGTCACGTCACCTCAGCTGATTCCGGCTGATTAGCCGCTGAACTTGGCACATTGTATTTTTGTGTTGTTTTATGTGGCTTTACACAATCAGTTGTCTTTTTGTCTTTTGTTTTATTTCTTACAATTATCAGATGATATGGCATGCTGTGTGCACTTAATTGTGCTCACAAACCATTCACTTGGCCTCTGTTTCCCAGGTGAGTGAAATTATATACTTATAGCATCTCTAAAAATGTATTTGTTTTATTTAAGATCATTTATAATTTATATTTTTCTTTAGAGCTGCAATGCACGCCAGAATCTGAGAGATAGGTTAGCTGTAGGCTATACTGTGGTATTGTTGTGAAAAAATTTAACCCTTTATTCCCCGCAGCCGAATCTCCATCTGTCAGTGATTGTCATCTTTGTGTCAGGATCAGTGCCGTAATCCCCCGCGCTCCACTAGTGTCTGAAGGGAAAGGTGCATTAATGTTTTTACTGGAACTGGCACTTCATATTTCATATTTCACAGCCAAATCACACTGCAGCCCAAAAGTGGTTACATACTAAAGCTAAGCAGGGCTGAGCCTGATCAGTACCTGGATGGGAGACCATATGGGAAAACTAGGTTGCTGTTGGAAGTAGTGTTAGAGAGGCCAGGAGAGGGCGCTCAACCTGTGGTCTGTGTGAGTCCTATTGCCCCAGTAAAAGTGAAGGGGACACTACATTGTCAGTGGATGCCGTCTTTCGGATGAGATGTTAAATCGAGGTCCTGACTCTCTGGGGTCACTAAAAATCCCATGG